TAAGTCTAAGCGTTGAAGCTTCAAGTGTTGAATTCATCATTTGCTAATGAGAAAAATTTTATGGCATCAAATTAAATTCGTCGATTTGTCCTTTTCTCGATGCAAAATAGTTTTATTAAAAGAACACAATTACGAAGTTCTCGAAGAGAGTGACTGAAAAAACAGAAAAAATGATGTAAAAGGATCAGGAAACTACCATATGAAAATTGAAGCCACATTTGGCTCAGAAAATTTACGGGGAGATTAGTACGGTCAAAGCTTAATATCTGGTTGGCTTATATGTATGATAATAATTAGTTCTTCTATCATTGTCATTGGTTAACAACCGATAACATACCATTTGTTGCCTCAATCAAAAGTTTTTAATATCTAAATTTCTTCGAAATTTTTTAGAATTTTTTTATATACTCTATTGACTGTCAACAGTTGTGACCAAAAGGTTTTGAAAACGGAAAAGAATGAAAAGTAAGAAATCCGATATAATTCTTTCCTATCAAGCTCTTATTTAGAGTACCTTTCAATTTATCACACACATTCCTCAACATTCCGTGAAAATTATGGTGTGCCTTAATTTTCAGTTGCTTTACACAACGGCTTTTATATTTGGCACATATAGCCCTAACATTTTTTGCTCATACAGTTATTATGTTTTCTTCGCTAATAAAGAGAAGGTTTTAAGGTATCTTTTCTCTTCCTCATTAATTATCATTGGTACAAATATTGCTTATGTACTTTGATTAGCTCATATTATGTGCAACTCATTGACCTCTAAATTTATAGATCAAATTGTATCCAAAATGAGGGGCAAGAGTTGCTTTGATATTATGACGAGTAAATCGATAAGACGCAGAAACAGGAAAAATAGATTCATTTTTTATGACTTGTTCAGCAACTAGTGGAAAGCATTTGAACTTTCCAGTAAATACCATTAGCAACGAAAATTAAAATAAAGAAAACCCTTGAAAGAAGCAGTTTTTGCTGGGCAATCAGAAAATGAAATTCGGTTTGTATAACAAATTTTAAGTCTAATTTTTCATCCGGAATCTTCGAAAAATTAGTGATACTAGTAAGACGATATCAATCAACAAATTTAATTAACAAAGAATGATTTCAAATAAAATCATTACAATTAAAATCTTATAATGATCGTGATGAAATTTATCTAATATGCTAATTACATTCAACTGATTACTCGTTGTTGCTAATACGATACCTCCCGGCTGTGTTTGAAAACATCTTGTTTCAGGACTCACTAGAAAATGGCTTCCGGTTTCAAGATTATTGTCGTATTCATATCACTGCTTCTCACTATCATTCCATGTCAAGAGGTTATTCTCTTTGTGTTATCATTAATCAGTTACCGCCAACAGTATTCTACAACAGCGGTGCATCTCATACTTAACGAAATTTAATATCTAAGTGGTCACTTATGGAAAAGAAAGGCATTAGTTAGAGCTATACGAAGTATATTCGTCGTTTTAATTATGGCACTGCTTACTTCTGAAACATCCCGATTATCTCTGAAATATATCTCAGACCAATTTCAGCGTAGGTTCCATTACGGCGAGTGACACTTTTGCTTTTTTTTTGCTAAAAATTGATAATTCATAATTTCCCAAATTTTTTTAAAATGCAAATTTCTTTTTCAAAATCTTTTACAGATAACGGATGAGGGGTTAGACAAACATGAATCATCAGCATTTGGAAAACGAGCCAAATTTGCATTTGCAAAACGATACCCTTCGAGATTTGCTTTTGCTAAACGATATGACGACGAGGTGAGCTACTTTTGTTGAATTTACTTAATGATTATTTTTCTGCTTTCTATTTATCCTTATTTTATTGTCGAATTACATTCTGTAAATCATTCTTCTCTTAGATCAAGGATCGGTTTTCGCAACTTCAGTTCACAGTTGTAAGAAGCACATTTAAATGCTAGTCAGTAAATTGCAGTTTTAAACAGTAAAGCAGGTTTGAGCAGAATCACTCCAGCATATTAATATTTATTGCTCTTAGTCACCGCCAAAAAAGCCTATTAAGTCAAGATAGTTTTTCTTTAGTATGTATTTACTGGAGTTGCTGGCCATTCTATCCGACTATACTTCCAACCCCCAATTATGGGCTTCAGAAGAGATTTGAGATATTAAATAATAAAAGCAGCTAATTGCATCATAAGATTAATGCATATTCTTGCAGGACATCAACTACTATGACAAAAAGGCAATGCATTTTGAATCGCCCATACGTTCAATGCGTAACTTTGCATTCGCAAAACGTGGTCACTTCCTACTATTTGATTGAAAATTCAATACCAAATTTTACTACTGATTTTGTCCCTTTGTATTGGTGATGACAGTCAATGTATCGTTATTGTTTCCCGCGCGAAATAACAGATTGATAAAGTTCCTGTGGTCTGTATCACTCTTTACACTTTCATATCTGCTATCTCATAGTACTCCCTCTCTCTCTGAAAATCTACCAGAATTTACTGAAAGTGGAATCATTTTCGGTACAAGTTTTATATTGTGAAAATATTTTAGCCTGATTGCTTTGAAAAGAACAATGAGTGATTACAGCATGTGTCAAGTTTCATGAAAAAAAGTTGAATTATCTAAAGGTTGAGAAAGTAATGATGAGTTTCTCTGATAAGTTTTTCTCTTATCTATTATGATAACAAAAATGCGAGATAAGTTCTTATCATGTGAATAGCGTTGTAAAACAGCGATAAAAAAAGGCCAATCCATTTTTCCAAAAGTCATATCCCATCACTTTTCAAAACCCCCACTGGAAAAAGTTGTACTGAACACAAAGTTGTACGTTATTACAGATTATTTGTGTTTTGAATAAGTTAATAAGCTTAACTAAAAGCTTAGTAAGGCATTTGATGAGTTAATCATGTCAGAGGTAACCAGAGTGTTAATTCATTTACGCGCAGCATGAAAAGCACAGAAAAAGTCATTTATAAATCATCATTATCATCATCACCCATCATCAACATCATCCATCATCATCATCATCATCATCAATCATCAATTATCATCAATCAACAATCAACAATCAGGAATCAGCAATCATCGTCATCAATCATCATCATTACAACATATTTCGAATATCATCATTATCGAGAAAGCTAATCTGTTGAATTCGTTTTTCAGCGATAGAGCTTTATTCAGGGTGTAATATTGTTCTTGCACAATATTACTAGTTAACAACAAGAAAAAGGGTATAAAATATGTATGTGTATAACACGATGAATTGATAAGCAATGATAAATGAGTTATACAAAAAGCGAGTAATGTGATCAACTAACAAACTCCTTGTCGTTGCCTTCGATAATAATTTTACTGTCAATTCGTTGGTAGATCGATGAGTTGGGGATATGTTACGGGAAATGTATTTAGCAAATAGTAAGAATATCGTAGTTTGTTGTTTAGAGGGGAGTTTTGTAAGCTTCATTGGGGTTATCATGAAGGTATGGATGCTCTTTGGTATTGTCCATTGTGTAGATACTGAAATGCCTTTGGGTCATGCTGTTCATTGTTAGCTTATATTCTCTTCATTGCTTTAATTTTACTTACAAGATTTCATCACCCTATCTGGTAGATATTGTGGAGATTTTATTTGAACATAGCTTTAATTTCGGTAATCCGACAACCGTTACCACATATTTTCCTTCCATACCAGAATAAGCATTCTCATGACCACTGTAATGCTAATTAACAGTGAAAGCATGGTAAGTAGCTAATGAAAAGATTCATTCAAAACAGTGTCTGCATACCTCATTTGGGATGAACTTGTATGGAAATGTCGCTCTTGTCGTTTGAACTTTTAGCTTTGATTGAACGGCCCACCGTCTGTCTGTTTACAGAACCATTTTCAACATTAAATGCATCAAGAACTATTTAAAGCAGTCTTTCCATTTTTCTGCTCTCAGAACCATCATCATGAATCAGGAGTGAACTTTTAAATTCAGCATTTTTTTCTCACAATCATATCTATTGGAATCACGGATCATCAGGTATCGTCTCGGATGAATTCAATAGCAAGCTATTTCTCACTGGTCACCTTTTTGTGTTTTTTCTCTTCACCTCACTTCTACCTTCAGATATAGTAAATGAAGCATGGCTTGTTTTTGTAACCTGTATGATTTAATACCGTATTCCTTAGAAAATTGGTTAATTCTTTCGATCAACATAAAAACGCCAGTGAATAGCAGGAGAAATGGTATTACGGAGAGCAAAATTAGTAGAACAGAGGAGCAAGAGCAGTTCTGTGGATATCGAAAAGCTGTTTCTGTTGTTCTTTGGCAATATGAGGTAGGGACAGAAGTGATGGAAGAAAATGCTACCTGAAAGACCAGTTTTATCAGCAGGGATCCCATAGTAGTAAAAAATCCGTTTTTGGTGTTCAAAGCATTTGGTACAAGCACTTAGCTTTTCGTTTGTTTCGTCCAGCGCTTTTCTTACTTTCCATACCCTTAGGCATGATGCTTAGGACAGAAAAATCAGTAGTAAGATTATATATGTTCGATTTTTTAGATACTCGCCGTAAAGCCGATATGCATTCAGTGCTTATTACCAGTAGCAACTCGATAACAACATCAATAAATTCACCGACATTCTTTAGTGGTACTACTAATACTACTGCTACTACTACTGCTAATTTCAGTTCCCTAAATGATTTTGAATTTAGCCGAAAATTTGAAGAGTGGCTCAAGGTTTGTACTTTTACCGATTATATTAAATTTATATATATCCAATTTTTTCCACCTTTTGATGACAAACTCACTATTTTACCAGAAAAAAAAATATATATATATATATGTGACATTCAAAATGATCTTGTAGACCGTTGAAGAAAACGAACATATCAGTGGTAATCAAACACTGTGGAAGTGGTATGATCAGAACGACAATTCTGGTTTCTTACATGGTCTCGAAGAGGACAATGAGCGGCCATTAACAAGCTTAATTTTTACCTTTCCTTACTGTCAAATCAAATAGTGCTGTTTCAAAAATAGATGCAAAATCATATTCATTTAAGCAATACTATCACTACGTTCTGTAAAGTATTCTTAGGATAATTCAAATTTCTTTGAAATCAATTTTTGATAAATTGAAAACCTGACAGATTTAGGGTGATTTAAACTTTACATATTCAGAATAGCAGGAATATTTAGCACGCATGGGTACGAATCAGCTTGGTGGTATTTATGCCAGTGGACGTCCACTACCAGTATATCTTCGAGAACGTATCATCCAAATGGCTGCTTCAGGAGTTAAACCTTGTCAGATATCAAGACAACTGCGAATATCACACGGTTGTGTCTCCAAAATTCTGTCCAGGTTAATTCCATCATTTTTCGCTTGATTTATTTTAATTCAGCACAACTTAGCTCGATTAAATCTGTTTTTATCCAACTCCCAAAGATGAAATTCACTTTTTTTGTTTCGTAAATTTCTTTATACGATCCGTTAATCGCATTAAATTCCAATCTCGTCGTTTTACCCAGGTATCGCGATACAGGCTCAATCCGAGCTGGTAAAATTGGTGGTTCAAAACCTAAGAAATCGCTTCCTCAGGTGTTATTCTTATTATTTTAAGAAATCGGGTTTAAATCGATATAATTCATATTCTGATCTGAATTGGTATCTAATAAGCAAAGGATTATGCAGTCAATCCTTACTGTAGCAGAGGGATTCAAAGGGACTGTTTGAAACTGTAATTGTATTACTCTTGACTTAATTTAAGCCTCCTTAAAATATGATCAACAAAATAAGATCGCCGCCGCACATTTTTCTATCCACTAGAAATCTTATTTTTTTGTAAGCTGTTTCATTTTCATTGGCAATAGATGAAACTGATAAGTGCAAATTTAAAACTATCTCGGTTGTGGTAGAAAATAATCAAAGCAAAAAAAAGGTGGTGACAGCGATTGCAATTTACAAGCATTGTCGACCATCGATGTATTCATGGGAGATTCGCAGTCAGCTTATCAGTGATGGCATTTGCAGTGCATTCAATGTTCCAAGTATTTCTTCGATTAGTAGGTAAGTAGCGTTGAAACCACTGATTATTTAATTTAAAGGAGAAAGATGAGAAGGTAAAGCTGAATCACTGTCAGGTAAATGGTTGATTTCGCAGAAGATTGTGGAATTTTCAAATAAATATTTCGACAATTGGGATTAGATATTGCTTCGTTCTTAACTGAATCCAAATTCTATGCTTCGAACTTTCTTTCTATTCGGCAACAAAATTGAAAATTAATATTCTAAGCAGAACTATTCACTTTTTACGTTTTCAGGATAATCAGGACAAAACTTGGTATCAAGAAACGAACTGATTCCACTGACATTGGATCACCGGCAGTCACCGAAACGAATACATACTACCGCCCACCAATACTGGATGCAAGAATATTTGAGAAACAGTATCAGAAGGATAGGAAAATGGATATGTATAAGAGTATCAGATATACTATGCAAAATGATAATAATAATAATTTATCACTTATGAATTTACCGAATCCTCGGCGATTTCAGATCTCATCATTTAATAGATTTAATTGCTAAAAAAGCGGGGTGCAACGAGTTTGTTCATCCAAACAGCATTCATTTGTTGTCAAGAAATTTGGCAAAGAAATCTGAAAACTGATCTGCAATCCATCTTTCAACTTTTGAAGTTTGCAAAACTTCTCCCAGTATTTATTTCTCCTAACGATTTTAGCATCACACTTTTTATTGGTACAGCATGAATCTAATCACATTTGTTGACAAAGAATGCGGATTTAACCGGTTCTCATAGAAAAAAGCGCTCACGCGGTTCTAATGAATTTGGAGTGAGAAAAGTCGTTCAAGGACCGTTTGAAATTTGTAAATGTTAATTAAATTGTCAGCCTTCTGTGCGTAGTTCTCCGCACCACTGATAAGCCAGTTAGAATACGCCGAGAAGCTATGTAAGCTGAGTAGAAAATTTTAATTTTTTATCGAGGTCTGATTAAATAAAACCATACTATTTCTTTTAGATGTCACTTTATACTACACTTACTTGCTCAGTGCTTATCATCTTATCAATGAAATTGGAATTAGCTCCATTGAACTACACTATTTCGTTTTCATTTTTCAATAATTGATAACTGATACATATATAATCTTTCTTATACAGATAATTTTTTCGTGCACTCTTCTCAGACAACAATCTATCGAAGTTTGAATGATTCAATAATTCTTTTTCTATTTGACAACAAAGAAGTTCAAGTTTTGTTCACATTCAAAAACGAATTTCTTTTTTACTTGGTACATAACAATTGTGGAGTATGGCAATGAACTTCAACGATACAACTAATTTAATCGATTTTAAATAAAGTGTAATTATCAAATTAGCGACTTAGTTTTGCGCAATGGCATAGAATAAAACGTTGACGCCTCGCCGCCACATCATGCTTTCTTCCCTCGTCATATTCGTCAAATACTTCGCAAAGACATAAATCAGTTTTAGGAATTCTCATTCGATTCACTAAGTGTTGGAGAATTTGTCGATGGATTCATATGAAAATTGTTATCTTTTTGATTCATTGTCAGTGGAAATTTTCTGTAGAACATTTTCTGAATATGGGTGGTAAATAGAAAAAATGGGTAGGATGTGAGCTAAATGGCTTAGGTAATTAGAAGAGAATAGAGGAGGTGATTTTCTTAAAGGTAACAATAATCCATTTCAACTAATGCTGCTGCAGCAGGAGAATTTCCCTTTAGTGAATGTAATAACAAAGGGGGTTAATGAAAACAGAGAAAATGCAATTGAACTAAACATGAAAATTCAATTGAACAAACAAACAAATTATTTGAAATTTACACAATATTTACTTGGGAGAAGGAACCGGTTTTAAATCTAATTAATTAATTTGATTTTGTATTTTAAATAACTTGGTTATTTTGGCGAGGAACAGTTTATATGCAGGACAAAAGTTTCAAGTATTAACAGGACTGAGGATGGATTTTTAGGACAGACTTGACAGAGATATTTTGAAGTTGAAATTTACCAAAGTGAGTAAAATCCATCGATGGAAATCAATTTTTTTTGTTGCCTCATCGGCAAAAAATGGCTTCCCTAGTCTTGAAAATAAGATACAAGATCTGTTAAATTATTTATTCAAAACAAGATAATGATTTCCTTAAAGTTTACTTTAGGTAATTGATAGAAATAAGGGAGCAAAGAGAAAATCAATAGGACAGCAATCCTGGATATTCCATATTGACAGCTAGAACTATTACCGTCATATCTTACGTTTACTTTTTCGTGCGTTTTCTCTGAAAAGTTGGGAGTAAGAGAAAAAACAGGAAAGGATTTTTGGAAATTCTGAATTTAAATAAAGAAACAGAAATCAAAGCAGCTATTTGACGTCCTGCAAAAACGGTTACCTACCGCTGAACTTGCTATAGTTAAATTCAGGATCCATGAAACGCTGAGGATCTGTGTTGGGAAGTAAACTATGTATCACTTCATTAACAAATTCGCCACTTATCTCATCTCTGTTGTCTAAAAAAATGTTCATTAAAACCGTATATCAAACAAATGCAGAGGTAGAAATTGCAAGTTCAACGAAAAATTCTCAGATAAATGACTAGTTACACAAAATCAATAAAACAAATATATCGATACCTAAAGTGATGAATTAATGAATCATTCATCCAAATCCAACTCTTTCAATTTTCAAACCATTCTTAATTGCAATGGTTAAACGTTTCACAGAAAGCTTTTGTTGTAAACTTTTTCCAATCTGTTAATCAAACTTACATGCAATTGTGGAATGTTATAAAGAATTTATACGCAAATGTCGAAATTTTGTAAAGAGCCTTTAGTCTGGTAATTAAAGGAATGTATCTGGAATGTTAAACCATTCCTATTATAAAAGAAGTTAGGATTAGTCATCC